TTGGTTCTGTAGGTCTTGCTTTATAAATGAGGTAGGTTTTGTAGAAATGGACAAGAAAAGGCATTTTTAATTGAGGTAATACTTGGATACCACCAGCCAATCACCCACAGGCAACCACCACAATCCACTGTGCTTCCTTCCTCTTTGTTCTCAGCCCTTCTCCACCCAAGAAAAGGCATTAGGAATAGATAGGGATGGGTATTTCCAGGGCAAGATGTGTGGAAAGTGTGCATCGGCTCTATTTTGCTGAGTATAATTGATTGCTGCCCTGCTCTGAAATGGTAGGTGGGTTTAAGATGGAAATTAAAACCTGAAAGCAAATGGAAGGGCTAAGCACCCAGTAAAATGAAATAAGTCTAGGGGACCCAATGTATAAGAGGGAATACAGGGTATTTTAGACAGAATCTGTTGTTTTAATTGATATCAAGAATCTATATTAAAGTGATGACACATAAAAGTACATGATATCTATATTAACAATAAATACCAAGCATTTGATATGTGCTATATTGTTCTTGATTAGGGTGTGAGTATGTATTTTTTAAATCTGTTTTAAATATAATGACAAACATGTTAGTTACACCAAATCCAGTGACTTGGAGTGAAATTGCAGTCTTCAATCCCATCAGCCCAATAAGAAATTGAGAGAAGCATTATTTGACTTCTGCTTTACCTTAGGCCCTGTTGGAAAAAACAGAGATTAGAGAAAGTTTCATTAGTATGGCTTCCTTTTCACTTCTCTCCTTTAGATATGATGCTTTGTTAACCATGCTTTGAAATTTATGTTGAGAAAAGTCAGTCAAACAAATTAGTGGAATCTGGTTATAGTTATGTAAGACTCATTTAAAGAGTTTGGGGGCTATATTATTGCCTATTTCCATGTCAATATAGTTCTCAAGTATGGATATTTAAAAGTCTTATTTAGTCATAAAAACATCTTTTTGACATTATCATTGATTTTTAACCTGTTAATATTCATTATCACTGAAAATGTTTAATCCTCTCTAGAAAACTTCCCCTTCTCTATTCCATCAAAGATATATACAGTAGTGACACTCACCCCCTATTATTTACTTTCTTCAGTAGTGAGTGGTTTCCAACATGGAAGTTTGGCATGCAATGCAAGTGCACTTTATAATCTTCAGGTTTCATCATTGAGGACAGATAGGAGAGGATTATTGGTTATGAGAGGTAGTAGATGCTACAAAAGGCATATTTGCTTTTTTTAGTAGGTATTCTGAGTAACAGCCATTCTTTAAAGGATTTTTGCCATAACCACATTCTGTCTTATCTCCCTCATCTATGTTATTGCTGTGGTGTGGCAAGTTGTCAGATTTCATCATCACTTCTTAGGAATGTTTAAGGATGAGGCTACCTGTCACCACCATCAATAGGTTGTAGGACTAAGTGTTTCTCCTGATAAGGTGTCTTCTATAGAAGATGCTTTCATTCAGGGTGAGATCCACAAGGATGACAGGAAACAGATCTGTACCATTCAGAGGCTTAAAAACAAGATGATAACATATAGAAACTGATAAATGCTATAATGGAAATCACAGAAGCTGGTATGGAAACCCTCAGGCCTCTGCCATAGTTAAAAGTGATTGGACTTGGCACTGAATAATTGGTTTTCCTCCTCGTTTGCTGTATGCCTATTTATAGTCCTCTTAATCCAGTTGAGCCTGCATTTCCTTAATATCTCCAAGGTTGTTGAAAACAAAAAGTGAATTATTGGATAAAACTACATTGTGAAGTGAAATGTGATTCTTTTACTCAGTTTGACAGAGTGACTTTACCAGCATAAGCTAAATAGTGTGAAATCTCAATGTGATCTTCCCTTGTGAAGTGTGTGGGTTCCTAAAGGATCCCTAAAGGGCACTGAGAGGAGATCTCACTCTGGTTTTCCACACTGGCATCTCTAATACAGCTGTCACCATTCTTTACAGATGGTACAGAAACAAAGCAGCCAGGAGGAATGGTGACTGGTTTTGTGTATTCCTATCCCCCAGCACAATTCCTATCCCCCTCTTCAAATCTGCACCTGTCAGCACAAAGAGATTATATGGAGTGCTTATGACTGGCCAAGAGGCACACCAGTGAGGAGTGAAAAGCAGAAATAAGAAAGCAGCTTTTTGCTTACCAATATAATATTTCATAGAATTCATTTTGAGTTTCCCCTGAAATCATCACCATGAAGTTCCAATTATCTTGATGGAAAATTGAGTAGGCTAATGAAAAATTGAAACATGTTAGCTTCATTAGGAGAGAACCATTTTCCATGAAAGAAAATATCTACCTGAATATTTACCATAATGCCCCCCAATTATTTACCTTTGTGAATCTTTGAAGTCTTTCCAGATGTTTGCCCTTGCTCATAAGAAAAATGTCTGTTGACTTAAAACAATGAGGTGATATACCTGTTTTAGTATAGAAATAGCCATGTTTAAGTAAACACTGGGCTGCTAGTTTCTGTTTTAGGTAGCACCATGCTTGTGACTTAACCACTTGTGTAGTGATTATAGTGGGCATTTGTTAAATGAATGAGCTCAAAGTTAAAGCTCAATCCTCTTGATTCTATCAGCTTCTAATTATTTCCAAGGACAAAGTGCAATAAACTAGACATATTTCAAAATATAAGATTCACATGTGAATCTTCTACTCACTCCGCTTAATCCCTTTTCCATACTATTCCCGTTTCCAATTTTAAAACTGACTGTTAGAGGACAGGGCCTTTAGCTTCCTATATGCCATAGTCTTTTATTTTTAGCATCCCTGCACATTTCCATCCTCTTCAATATTAGAGGAAAAACATGACTTCCGTATTACTAAGCACAATTCATCCACTGGACCCCTCACCCAGTCTCTTCCCACCTTCATCAGGGCCATTTCCCGCCTGTCTTTTTAATTTTCTCTCAGATCTTTAAGTTTGACTTCTCCTATTTTTTAAAATCTTCTTTTCAGTCTATATTGTTTAGTTTCTCGCAACTTGTGATAACACATTTGTCTGCAGTTACTACCCATTTTATAATCGCCTGATCTAAGTCTTCAGAAACACTGCCATTTTTCACTTTCTTGCTTACCCATTCACTTTGCAGCCCATTGCACTCTGGCCTCTGTTCACCCTTGATCAGAGCTGTGGATAAGACCAGATTTTGGTAATTCCAAAGTATGTTTCCAGTTCTTTATTGTACTGGAGTTCTCTATTGCATGTAATTCTCCTTGAAAGTTTCCTTCACTTTCATGCCACTATCATTTTTATTTTTCTTGTGCTTTAATCATTCTTCCTCTATTTCCTCATTTCTGTCTCTCTTCAGTTCTCAAATATTGATTCTCCAAAGGGTCCCCCTTTGCTCTTCTGTTCTAGTCACTGATTATATCTGATCATTTTCCTCATTTGAGACTACCTACACACTGATGACTCCTAAAATGTATTTTCAGTCCAGACCTTTTCCCCACCCTTAGACTCATATAGCCAATTTCCAGGTAAATATCTTTGTCTAAATTTCCTCTGATTGCTTCAAGCTTTGTGTGACTGAACCTGAACTTCTCATTGTTTCTCCGAAGGCAGTTCTTCTGTCTGCACTGACTTCCACACACCACCTAGGTGAGAGCCATGGTATGCATTTACTCCTATTTCATTGCTGCTTCAGGATTGTTTTTTGTTTTGTTTTGTTTTGTTTTTTACTAATTTCCAAAGTTTTTCTCTTCTTTTCTCTCTTGTGCAACTGCTTGTTCATTTCTCTCATTATCTTATATAGGTAGCTTTATAAACTGACCTTTTAATGCCTCATTGTTTCTTCCTGAAATCTGTCCTTCATTTAGCCAATAGAGTGATCTGTGAAATGAAAATAAGACCATTTCACTTTATTGTATCACATCATTTAGTGCCTCATTCTTGCTTCCATTGCTTACAGCGATATTTCTCAAATTTGGTTTTATATAGATGCATGTTTTAGAATATTCAGTGAAAATTTTTCAATTTTATGTGTAAATTATACTGATAGTCATTTTACAAACAACAGCATCCTTATTTGTGTTTATGATGACACCTCTATCAAAGGATGACCTAAAGTTACTAGGTTAACCCTTCACTGCAATATTTCTCAGCCATGTCAGAATTTTCTAGAGGTTATAAGAAATAGTTCAAAGATGTATATCTTAGATACGCACATATATAGGTATACTTACGTAATTATAAATTATATGCAAATTGTTATACTTGATACATAAGCACAAATATATAAGTGGGTGAATATATAATTTTTCTAAAGGATTTGTTACATTATTCAAATTTAAATTACACTCACTCTACACCCTACTTGTAAATTCTAAGGTCCTTAATGTATGTGTCTTTAAATCTTTTAGTTCCTGATCTCTATACTCATTTCTCCATCTTAATCTCTTGCCTTATGTTTTTTACAAGAGGAATATCAAACTACTTTGGGTCCTTGCATATACAGACTTAACCTTTTCTTTCTTAAGTCTGCTTTTATGTTTACCCCTTTGGTGTATGAATTTCCCTTTTTTTCCTTGATTCCTTTCACTTTGAACCCCTACTTACGTTTTATAAACTAGTTCCATGGTGGTCACCTCCAGGATGCATTAATCTAAGTGGGGTGTGCTGCCTAGTGGTTCTCCTGTTCTCATAGTGGCCCGAAAATAGATCTCTAGGTACATCTTATTGCTTTGGTTCCAACATTACCTGTTGGAAACTGGACTAGATGGTGACCTCTGTCAGGTCTTGTAGTTTCACCTCTGTGTCTTTCAAACATGGCATGTAGTTGAACAAGAGTAATCTAAGTACCCGTCAATCACCTTTACTTTCTTATTGTCGGCCTAAACAATTGCTTTCACAGTTTTTCATCTATATAGTTTTCACATTACTGTTTTTAAAAATGTTTAATATGCATTTGCATGCTTCACTTGGTATCTTAAATTAGAAAATCAATGTCTAGTTGTAGAAATGTTAGCTATAGAAAGATAACATTTTTCTATTTCAGGAGACTCATCGCTGCAGACTCAGGAGCCTAGAAGTTCTGAAAATACATTAACTTTCCTGGAAGATTCTGGGTGTGATATGTCAAATGAACAGAGAACAGAACCTTCAGAGATGTCCCAGCACTCTGTGGAGAGCTGCGCCCCTCTACTCTTTCCACCACTGCCTATTTCGAAAGGACATTGTGCTACTCTGGAAAATCCTCTGTCTTCTCACATGCAATTCTTGCAGCGTCTGCTTCAACTGAAGTGCTTGACAGAACCAGGAAGTGTGAAAACAGACTTAAGCCATTTTTCAAACAACTCTTCCACAGTGTCTGATTCTGTTCTTCATTTGCTAGATGGCTTGATCACATTTTACCGTAAACCCAAATTTCCTTTTTCAAGCTTTTGGACAGAAGCTGTTGATACTTTAGCCAACCTGATCAATGATAGTAACTTATCCAGTCATATTTTTAAAAAGTGCTACAAGAAGTTGGAAGAATTTGAGAAAACTCTACTACAAGTTATTTTAAAGAACAACCAAATAAATCGGGTAAGTGATATATGTTCTTCTATTCGTGAAATACTATTATCAGTAGAATAATATATCACATATTTTGATATATACTAATATATCAGGAGAATGTTTTGGCAGACATTTTTGTTGGATAATGTCTAATGCTGTGGCTTTAAGGTCTTCTGGCTCATAATCTCCAGTTGGATTTCCTTTGCAGCCATCTGCAGCTCTTACCCTTTTTTATATTCCCACCTGTGGCCTCTGATTACTTGTCTTCTCTAGTTTGTTACCTTTCCTGATTTTTATAATTATTATTGGATTCTTCTCTCATTTTTCCCACCTACCTTTACTTCCTATTGCTGAAGAACTGTCAATAATTTTCAAATAACTACTAACACTATGCTCCCCCAATCTATAATTGTGGTGTGTTAAATTCGCCATGATGGATTACCTGTAACTGTATTAAATTTGTTATTTTTTTTTCTTGGCATTGACTAGTGATAACTGAAGGTCAAAGAATATTTTTTTTTTTTAGAATTCCTCTTGTAAGTAGCATTATAACCCAGGGACCTTTGCAGCCGTGGGTTAATTGAATATATTGGCTGTAGAACACCTAAAGTGACTTTATTCTGTTTTGTTTCCCCCCCCCCCCTTATTTAACATGGTTTAGAAATGCTGACTCAGGGATTCTTTGTTTACAAGTGACACTGAAGTAACCTGAAGTTTTATTGTTGTTGGGCTCTTGACACATACTGGAGAGTTTCCTTTTTATGTTACTTTCTATCTTCCTCACTATCTGATCCTTTCTTTGGGAAACTCCAAATGCCTTCACTTTTTAATCCCTTTTTAATTGAGTACTAAAAATATCACAAAGAAGACTAAAGGTCTGTCTGAATGATTAACTGTATCTTTTTGTAGGAAATAGGTGGTTGGACCTTCTTTCTTTTGACAGATGATTGTCTAGTAGTTTGTCCTCAATACTGTCATCCAGTTGTTTGATGTTTTTGAACTAATAACCTTATTTGTTGCACATACATGTGTTTTTTCTTACTCTATCAAGATACGACTAGATCAAAATTGCTGGAATCTTTGCATTTGCTTTTTTGCCATTTGGAAAGATCATGAATTTTCTCTATGGGAAACAAATCTGTTTTTGCTAGGCATGGTTATTTGGGTATTAAATATCAGATTTCTGATAGTTAAAAAACAGTATATATTTCAGATACACTATCAATAAATAGCTACTTAACTATTTCTTTAGGCAGGTCTTATGACCTGGAACCTTCCAGGTACTGGCATTTATATTCCTTATAAGTTACCTGATGATTCAAATATTTTTTTCAGTCTTCACTTTCACTGAAGGTCTGAACTACACAAGAGTAGCCTTGGGAACTGTACACAAGTAAGGTGTGTGTGAAAGAAGCTTGTGATTATACACATGCCTGAAATGTGTTTTCCAAACCATTTGTCATGGTGCCAGCTGTTGTTGAACAGTTGGTCAGCAGTGGAACAGCAAGTGAATGAGTATCTTTGGTGTTTTCTTGGAGAGGTAATCATTGCCTTCAGAGAAAGGAGAATCATAAAATCCTTCCTTACATTTATAATTGGTGATGATTTGTAAATGGGTTTTAATGACATTCTCCTTTGGAATTTTCTCCCTGGCAAGATCATCTTAGATTAAATCATTGTAATTATTGTCATCACCTTCCTTGTACATATTTGTTCATAAAGCTTGGATTTTTAACATATTGAAGTAACATTGCATTATGTTTCAGATGTGCAACATTATAATTCAACATCTGTATATGATATATTAAGTTCACCACTAAAAGTCCAATTTTGTCTTTCCCCATGTAGTTTACCCCCCTTTAACTAGTTTACCTATTCTTCTTCACTCTTCCCTTCTGGTAACCACCAATTTGGTCTCATAATCAGGAAGATTGTTTAATTTTGTTAATTTGTTGTTTAGTTTCCTTATGTGCCCTTTATGAATGAAATCTTAACATGTTTGTCTTTCTTCCTGGGACTTATTTCACTAGGTACTCTACCATCTGGGTCTGTCCGTATTTTGTTGCAAATGGCAGGTTTCACCTTTTTTATAGCATTCATATTATAAGGAATGAAAATGCAAATCAAAACCACAATGAGATCTCACTTCAAATATTTTAGAATGACAGTTATCAAAAAGTCAAGAAACAGCAAGTGTTGGTGAGGATGTGGAGCAAAGGGAATCTTTACAATTACATTTTAGTGAAGCCACTACAGAAATTGTATGGATGTTACTCAAAAAGGTCAAGATAGAACTGTGATATAACCCAGAAATTCCATTTCTAGGCATTCATGTGAAGAACATGAAAACAGTGATTTGAAAATATATCTGTACCTCTGTATTCACTATAGCAATAAATCACAATTATGATACATAAATAACCTAAGTGCCCATCCACTAATGATTGGATAAAGAACTGTGTGTCTGTGTTTCTGTATACACATAGATACATCCTTATTTATGAAAAAAAAATCTTGTCATTTGCAAAGGCATGAATGGATGTTTAGAGGATTATGCTAAGTGAAATAAGTTAGTATGAGAAAGACAAATATGGTATGTATGAGTTCACTCATACTTGGAATATAAAGGAACACCCAAACAAATAAGTAAAAACAAACCCTTGGACTCTGACAGTAATGGTGGTTACCAGAAGCAAAGAGGATTGGGGGAGGTTGGAATAGATAATGAGGGTTGATTGCTTAGTGGTAGACCTTTGGAGTGACCATGGTGTGTCATATACAGATGTTGAGGTGTAAGTCTGTACACCTGAAACTTACTAGGTATTGTGAACCATTATCTCAAAGTAATTTTAAAGTGATAGAGTTAAAAATACACCTCAGATGTATTCTTTGTGAAATTGGAAAAAAAATTGACTGCCAATTAGACATTAAATTGGAATCTTTTCTATGTATGATAGATAGAATAATCATCCCTACCTTATTCCCTGCATCCTATTGGTGTGTTATGTGACATGACAAGGAGTAAATTTATGGTTGCTAACCTGTTGACCTTGGGATGGAGGGATTACCCAGGTTAACTCAGTACTCACTAGGGCCTTTGTAAGTGAAAAGAGGGAGACAGGAGTATAGTGTCCTCTTCAGAAAGAATTTGAAAATGTTATGTTGCTGGTTTTAAAGATTAAGGAAAGTGCCATGGGCCAAGGGATACAGGTTGAAAAAGGCAAGGAAAAGGATTCTATTGAATGGTTCCTTCAGAATGATAGCAGGCTTGCCAATACCTTCATTTTGCTCCAAGGAGCAAAACCCATTTCATACTTCTGAACTATAACTGGATAAATTTGTTGTAAGTCATTAAGTTTGTGGTAGTTTGATGTAGTGGCAACAAAAAAATAATGCCATGTTTATCATTTTTTTTATATTCAATATATGTAGATGTATGAGTGACATTCTTATTTCCATTTGATAGATGAGAAAAATGAGCCTCAGTGTTACCTAAGCCCACAGAGCTGGCTAGTAACAATTTGGATACTACCACCTAATATTAAGAGTTGAATGTGGCTCTTTATTCTCTCTCCCCACAGTCCTCAGATTTGGTTAGTTGACCCAAATCATAGGATTAATGCACATGTTGTTTATATAATTCTCCCAGATCCTACTGTTGTGGTGTATATGCCTCTCCCTTCCTCTCCAGATTTCTGCATTAGCTTCCTGACAGATACTGGACTCATTGCTGCTTCTCTAGTTTTTCCACCTCACCTTTGTCAGAATGATCACTAAACTGTGCTGAAATCCTTCAGGGACTCCTCTTGGATTTACAAAAAAGTACGTTCTTCATCGTTGCCCTTAGGGCCCCTATCCAGACTCTTTGGTATTAGATTTCTCCATTCCATCCTAACACTCTGTGCCATACTAATAGTACTGTCAGTCCCTAGGCCTAGACTCCCCTTTTCCCATATAGCTAGTTCCACCGATCCTTACAAATTGACGTCTAGGATTTGCGCCTCAAAGAAGCCATCCTTTCTACTCAGCATCTGCTTTCCTTTCCACTAGCTGATTGAGTATTCTTCACATAAGTTTAACACCGAACACTCTAGAGAGTACAATAGTCACTGACTTGTTGCCATCCTCCACTAGATTCAGAGTCTCCAAGTCACATGCCCCACCTCCCTCAGTTGCTGTTCTCAGTGTTCAAGCTACTGCCTAGTGAGAGCCTAGGGCAGGTGGAAACCTAGCCTCCTCAGTTGGCCTGTGCGGGTGGCGCAGATTACATTTCTTCTGTGGCATTTAGCTTCATAGGAGGGTTATCTTTTAAAAAGCTTAAAAAGGTAGGCTGACTCTTTTCTGGTCCCTTGGCTAGAAAGAACAGGCTTTTGTTATGGTTGTTTATTTTTGGTTTTGTCTGAGCTCATTTGTATTTTGGGTTTGTTGGCTGTTTAAACTCCAGGTCTTTTATATATGAGGCAAGAAGAAAATTGAAAGAACTCACCACTTTGTGCTTTCTTTGTCTTCCTTTTCCATAACTGGTCCGTCAGCTGGTCTTCCTAGGTTTGTTTTCTATATAATGCCCGGGGGGGGGGGTAGTTGGAATAAGAGATATTAGTCCATTTCCTAGAAATGAAGACATGTGAATGTATTTTAAAAGTTAAGTATTATTCTAAACTGTGACACAGAGCTTCCCTGATGCAAACTACCCAGCTCCTTGGTACCAGCCTTCAGAGACCACCACTGCCAGATATTTGCTCTTACTCTCCACAGTTTTCAAATAAAACACTTCACTGCTATTTCTCATTTTGTGTCATGGAAGATAATAATTGATGTCTTATATTTGCCTTCCTCAGCTTATCCTCAAATTTTTGTATATAGAATGATTCTTAGCAGCAGCTCTGTCTTATTGACATAGTGATATCATTCACAAAGCACTTCTATCTACCAGGTAGCTGAGTATCTTTTCATGGTGTCACTAATTATCCTTCCTCAGCCACAGCTCCCCACTGAGCTTGGTAGGACTCCTGGATCTAAGAAAACCA